CAGCCATGACCATCCTTACTGGGCACTGACTCTATGTGTCAGGCACTTCACATCATACTTCATTTATTCCTTGTAATAATCCTATTTATCTGATATTATACCCACTTAAAAAAATTATACCNTCTCTCCAGTCTCTGCAGGGCTGTGTGGTGCTGAGGGCATGGCTGGACTCGGGGACCTCGAAGCAGAGCCAAGACCACAGGGGTGTCTCGGGCCAGAGCTTAGCCAGATGAAAGGGGCCGTGCCAGACAGGCATCACATGGGGAGAGGGCTGCCTTCCAGGCAGACCAGACAACCTAGAAAGAATCCACACATATCTGAGGACTTGCTGTGTGCTGAACGAACGTGGGAGTTATTGCAAATATCACAAACGGTGTAGGGACAGCGGAAGTATCCATCGGTGCGAGTAAAATTAGATCTCTGCCTCTTACCTCAAACCAAAATAAATCCCAGATGGATTAAAATGTGTCTTTTTTCTATTTTTAAACTTTTTTCTATTTAGGAAGCACACATTTGTTGAGAAAATTCAAACAACTTGGAAAGATGTAAAGTAAAAGAAATTCTAATCTTAATGCTTTAGCGGTAAGACTTTCAATCTTCTCCCCCCACACACGCAGACAGCCACTTGGAGCTATAGACAAATGGATATAGATATTAGGTTGCTGCAAAAGTCATGACGTATTTTTTTCTATGTTTTTCCTTGCAAAAAGGTGTCATGACTTTTCCAACAACCCAGTAGATGGGTTAGAGATTTAAATGTAAACAATGAAGCTGGGAAATGACCAGTATAAAATATGACTTAGATATGTAATCTTGGGTTACATTCCTTAAACAGGACGCCAAAGGCAAAACCTACAAAGGAAAAGATAGATGTGACTGCATAAAAATTTAAATTTTTATACAAAAAGCATGACAGGTAAAATTAAAGTCAAATGATAAGATAAGAAAAAATATACCATATACATGAAACTTAACACTCTTATGTAGAGAAAGCTTTTATAAGCCCATAAGAAAAGAAGCCAGTTCGCCCAAACAAAACCTCCTGGCTCTGTGCCTTTGCACCTTCCACTCTCTCCCTTTGCCTGGATCAAGTCTCCCTAACCTTGTCATCCCAGCAAGCCCGTTTCTTTCAGCTTTGTTGCAGGCATCCCCTCTTCCCAGAAGCCCTCTAGACCTTCCTCCTCCCATAACCAGCAGTGTGCTCTAAGCAGCCGGTGCATTCCTGTTTGTCACGCTCACTCCTAGGAACGGACCTGCCCATTGGCTGGTCAGTCATCAGTGCAGGTTGCTCAGAGTGGAGTCCAGGCCTGATTTATATCCCAGGGTCAGCACAGGTGTGTTGAATGACTGGAAGAAAGCCCACAGGTGTGGAGGACATGGAGGGGAGACTCTGGAATTCAGTTTGGTATGGGATGTGAGGTAGGGGCCTAATTATATTTTTTACCAAATGGATGTCCAGATGTCCCAGCCCCTTCTGTTGGATTCTTTGTTATTTCTATACCAGTTTNTCAGGCCCATTGCTAAAGGGAAGACAGTTGAACTGGGTTGAAATGGAGAGAGGAAGCCATCAACGTAAGAGACCTGCTTCTCCACCGATGCACCTGTGACCCCGCAGTGGACCCTCCCCTGGAGAGGGCTTTCTCCAGAGCCAGGCTTCCTTGGCCCCTTGGCAGCTGTGAGAGCGGACCGATTCTATCTTCTCTGTGCCGGTTTGCTCCTCTTGTCCCCTGCGATAGAGTACCTGAGCGTCAGCCCTGAGGAGGGCCCTGTGAAGCAGGATTTAGCACGTGTGAAGCGCACAGCTAGGAGCCTGGTAGACATCCCTGTCATCTTGGGCAGACGCGCCCCCTTCTCAGGTCCAGGGCTTCCTCTCCTTGAATCTTGGTTCTCAATCAGAGGCAGTATAACTCCTCACCCCCAGGGGGCGTGTGGGGACTTGGTGAGAGCTTTGCTTAGTTGTCGCAATGATTGGAGAATTCCACGGTGCCGTTACATTTTAGGGTAGTCAAGGTGGCCTCACAAAGCAACTATTAAAAGGAGGTGTTGCGACTGATGGGACTGTGAGTTCTCCCTAAGTTCTCCCCCAGTGTATGTGGTGGCATTATTGTGCTCCTTTTCTAGATAAGATTCAGAGACCTGTGCCCCTGAGCTAGACCCTGAAGCCCTCCCACCATACCGCATGCTGGTCCCGGCACCTCCTGGAGGCAACCTGCTGGAAAGGCCATGGCTCTGAAATTGGAGGGATGGGGATTTGGGGTCCAGGGTTGTCATATGCTGCCTGTGTGTCTCAGGGGTCACCTGTCCCCTTTGAGCCTCATGCTGGTCTGTAGTGAGGATAATTAGCAGCACAGCCTTCCCAGGCAGCAGGACCCAATATTACAGCTCCTCTTTTCTCCATGACCCAGATACCCACCCACCTGCCCTGGAGGCCAGGGAACATGAGGGGGTGCTGAGGTGGGGGAGGAGGGGGCAGGGGAAGGGGCGAGGTGGCCCAGCATGGATGATTTTTTCAGTAGAAAAATTTGAAACAATCACAGGAATGGAAAGAGAGAGTAGTATAATGAAGAACAGCATAAGGAATCCAATACCACTTTCAACATCTGTCAGCGTTTTGCCATTCTTATTTCATCTATCTACCTACTTTTCTTTTTCTGCTGTAACAGTTTAAAGCAAATCTCAGCCATCGGATCATTTTACCCATACATACTTCAGGATGTATCTCTAACATATAAGGACTTTCTTAAAACATAACCACAATGACAAGGCTTTTATCACACTCAGCCAAATTAATAATTCCTTAATATTCTCTCATATTGAATCCATGTTCAGTTTTCCTTTCTCATCTCAGAAATATCTTTTTACAGTTGAGTTATTAAAAATCAGGATCCAAACAGAGCCCACACAGTGCCCTGATTAACGTGTCTTCTAAGTATCTTTTAGACGGTAACAACCCTGCCTCCCTTTTTTTTTTTCCCCTGTATGCTGTTTTTTTGTTGAAGAAACCACCACTTGCCCTATAGAATTTCACACTTTGTGCATCTGGCTGATTGCATTCTTGTGTCTTTTGAGGGGCTGGCAAAGGTATCTGGCACGGCTCCTCCATGTGTCACTGTGACTGCACGTGTATCTGTGTCTATACCGGTGTGTATCTGCCCATAGGTCCTCAGAACACCCTCCGTGTGGGAGGTTCTGACTCGGGGTCTACACACCTGTGGTAAGCCCAAGTGCACTTCTCTGTCTTGGGTATGTCGTTCCGTGTGCCCTGGTGTGTGTGTGCACGCACGCACATTCACGTGCACACTTTAATATTTGGTCAGACTAACCCTTGGACTAAGCCTGGACTCTTAACCACAGTGGCCTGCCCACCTGAGTTTGTGCCTCCCCCGCCGTCCCCACGCGCACACACACACTCCTGATAGCAGAACCACATGTGGGCTTAGGCTTGAGGCAGTGGGAGCCCTGAGCTAGGGATTAAGAAGGCACCCTGAATTCTGCATGCTTCTCAGAGTCCTCCTGGAGTCCCAAGGCTGGCCAGAGAAGGCCCACTTTCCATGGCTCTCTCTAGGAGGCCAGTACCTAACCCAGGGAGACTTGAGTTGACAGAAGCTTCTAGAAAGAGACTTTGCCCCTTCCAACACTTCCTCTGTGTCTACCCCCAGTCTGCCTTCTGCAGCCCCAGCCCAGGCAGGAGGAAGCAAAGGTACCTTGGGTGGTCACTCATGGGAGGCCTGGCCAATGGACAGAGATGAGATGGGTGGGAACTCCATGGAGTCTACACCTCTCTCTAGATGCCTCTTTGTCCCGTTCCACCTCTAGGTGGGACCTCGCACAGCCCACCTGACTGGGAGTCAGGTAGCATGTTCCCTAAGGCTGCTCTGAACTAGGGAATTGGGAAGAAAGGGAACTCATGTTAGGGAGACTGCGGACGTCTGTTCTCTCACCTATGACAACATTAGCTCATTTTACAGCTAAAGAAACTGAGGTTCCTAAAAGAGGTGACGGCCCAGGTCAGTGACCCGGAAATGGAATTGCTGCTTCTTAGCCCCAAAGACCTTGCTTGCCATGCCAGGCTGCCTCCCCAGAGGAGGGGTGTGTGTTACATGTTGGGGAGCAGCATAGCCAGAGGGAGACAGGATGGGAATGAGCATGTCTTGGGAATGAGATCAGCCATGGGGACCCCACCCCTTCACTGTCAGGAGTCCTCCCTCCCTGTCTTCTGGATCCTAGCCCAATCCTTGGTATGGTGCTGACCCCCAGCGGCAGCAAGGGGTATGACAGGGTCCTCAGACCAGACAGAACTAGGGAACTTAGCACAGCAGCTCTCCCGTTTGGAAGGACCCTCAAGTGAAGTGAATACACACTCCCAAGGGGGAAAATGCAGAAACTGAGGTCCGTAGGAAAAAGAGATGCACCCAAGGTCACAAAGCTGGTTCATGGCAGAATCAGGGCTAGAACCAGAATCTTCTGACGTATATGCTGTAGGGCTTGCAGCTGCCATTTCTTAAGCACTTATTGTATATCAGACAACATGCTAAAGGCTTTTGATCCATGCAACAGTCCAGAGGCGGTCTTGTCATGTCTGTATAGATGAAGAAACTGGTTAACCCTTTGAAACTCTGCTGTCCTATCTACCCTGTCCTCTCCCTCCAGGATCTCCACCTGGACTCAGGGTAGAACAAGGGGAAAACAGCATTCAGCCCCAGCCCGAGACTGCCATAAGGCAGAGGACTGTAAAAAAAAGCCCTCCCACCCCACATTTATATACAGTAACACTAACCACCCCTGCCGCCCCTCTCCCTAACAAATGCTGTAAGGCAGGCATGATTTAACCTCTGAGGAAACTGAGCTTCCGAGACGCTGTGTGGGTGCCCGGGTCACGAAGCTACTGTTTGGAGGAGTTGGAATTAGAACCAGACCCACATGGAAGATTTTCCATTGGCTGGGGAGGTGTCCGTCAGCTGAAGCTCAGCTTCTCCCTCACCACCTCCTTTTCCCCACAGCTGGCCCCAGAGCACACGCTGATGTCCTTCCGGAAAGCCCTAGAGCAGAAGCTGTATGGGTTACAAGTTGATGTCACAATCAGGTATGTGTTTGGGTTGAGAGGACGGCACCACTTCCCATCCGCACTGCATCCACATCCGGGTTTCTGCTGGAGAAACCTCAGGTCCTTGGGGTGGGAGGGCAGAGGCTTGGATTATCCACTGCACGACAGGCATCCCTGTTCATGAAAATAAAGCTCGTGTCAAACTCCAGGTTATAAAATAGAGGAAAGAACAGATGTTCTTGGTTCCAGCAGGGTTGGTGGGTTGAGACCTGGAGTCCTGCCACAGATCCGTTTGAAGAGAAGACTAGATCTGTGTGGCTCAGAAAGATGGAGCTCAAACACTCTGATAAGGGAAATACACGCCTTGAAGAGCAATCAAGACATTCACTGTGATGTCAGTTATATTTTAAAAGACCACATGAAATGATTTATACATTTTCTGCGTGTAGATATATGTGTGTATTAGTGTAAAGGGCAGGAAGAATCCACACCAATCTAATAGATTATCTCTGAAAAGGGGAGAGGGGCAGGGCTGCCATGTATAGTTAGTTGTACAGGTTGTGCACTGAACAAGGGCCCCACATAGGTGAGGACACTTTCCCAGTGTAGACATCATAGAAATATATTTATCAAAGCTTTCTAGTAGATGGTGGTAAAATACCCTGAGGAAGGGGGGCACAGGTGCCTTTTACTGTTTCACACTAAGGCACCATATAGGCTATTGGCAGCTGCAGTGGAGTACACCAGGATGGTGGTAGGGTAAAAATTTGTGAAACTGCATTTGCACTGTTCTCATTATGGCATCACATGGACTGGGTTCTTAGCCAGGTTCCACTGCTTACTGGCTTGCGGATCTTGAGCTAGGCACTTTCCTCTTGCAGCCTCAGTGTCCCCATTATCAAATGAGGTAGCACTTACCTTCCAAGGTTGCTAAGAAAACAGGCCCAGCCCTCCCTCCTCAGCAGTCCCCACCCCCATCTGACCCTCAGAGGAAGCTTGATGGAGTCACCCACCAGTGCACTGCCCTCCCTGTGCAGACGGGGAACCTGAGGCCGAGAGGGGCGGAACCTGCCTGGGTCCCAGGGTGGGTTGGTATAAGTGGGTGGGAGGAGGTGTGTCGGGGAGGGTGATTATTGTGGGCAGGTGAGGGACCTGGATGGGCAGCGACTCAGTGGCCCCACCTTCCCACAGCCTGGACGGCGTGCCCTTCCTCATGCATGACGCCACCCTGCAGCGTACCACCAACGTGGAGGAGGAATTCCCAGAGCTCGCCCGCAGGCCTGCCTCCATGCTCAACTGGACTGTCCTGCAGAGGCTCAACGCTGGCCAGTGGTTCCTGAAGGTCTGACCCAGCCCTAGGCATGGAAAGCATGGGCGGGGACCCCATGGAGTGAGAGGGCCAGGGCGGCCATCAGCTCAGGTGACCCCCACTCCCCGAGCCTCCCTCACAGCCAGGCTGCTTAGCAGCCTCCTTGGGCTCCTGCCACTGTAGCCCTAATATCATGGTTGTCACTGCTTGTGCTGGTTCTGTCTCCCCCACCAGAAAAAGTTGATGGTGACAACAGTCAACAGTTAAAATTGTCAACTCTTTAAAACTCTAAAGGGAGGTTGGTTCTCTGGTCTGAAATGCTACTAAAGGAGAACTGTGCTGGGATCTGGGATAGGTTCCAGACAAATAATTCTTTTGGTAAACAGGGTGTGGGGCAGAGGTTAGGGTTGGGGTCTCCTAGAGCCCCACAGGGCCGCAGCCATCAAGCTGCCTGACACGCACACACCAGTAGACACGGGCAGCTCAGGGGTCTCCACGCTTAATAGCCAGGAAGGCACATGGAGGCCCCCAAAGGGCTGGTGAGGCAGCCATGTGTGTCCTTGTCTCTGCCAGACGGACCCCTTCTGGACGGCCAGCTCCCTGTCACCCTCCGACCACAGGGAGGTCCAGAACCAGTCCATCTGCAGCCTAGTGGAGCTCCTGGAGTTGGCCAAGGGCAATGCCACACTGCTGCTCAGCCTGCGTGACCCTCCACGGGAGCACCCCTACCATGGCAGCTTCCTTAACGTCACCCTGGAGGCCTTGCTGCGCGCAGGCTTTCCCCAGCACCAGGTGAGGCCTGGCGGCCCTGTCCAGGAGCCCCCCCGCCCCGCCCCAGTAGCCCAGGCCTGGCTGGAGCAGGACTCCAGCAGAAACTCAGTGTCCCCTCTCCAGAGCTCAGCTTCCAGATTTGTAAAATGGGGGTAGCATGCCCCTCCCCTCTCCGGCAGGGTCATTGTGGCAACAGGAGAGGAACAAGCAAGTCCTTTAAAATGTACAAAGGGCAGACGCGGGTCCAGGTTCTTCCGGACAGTTATTTCCACGAAGCATTGCCCACATTCTTGTTGTGTAATGTTTGCAGATTAGAGGAATCCTATGCCAACTTGTGACGCAAGCTAGATGCTGGTGGCCACGTGCAGAATAACTGACGTTTGGGTCATCAGTCTTGTCATGACGGGTCTAGAGGGGAAGCTCCCTGGCTTGTTGCCAAAGCAATTCACAGCCATGGCTAGGACCAAGTCTTCCTCTGGGGATGATGATTACACGTCAGCTCTCACCGTGTGCCAGGTCCCGTCTCTTTTAAACCTTCCAGGTGCTCTAAGGAGGGATAGACACTCTAACCCCATTTGACAGATGAGAAATCTGAGGCCACCCACCCCCTCTCCACCTGCAGGTCATGTGGCTCCCTAATAGGCAGAGGCGCTTCGTGCGGAAGGTGGCTCCTGGTTTCCAGCAGACATCAGGCTCCAAGGAGGCAATGACCAGCCTGCAGAGAGGCCACATCCAGTGGCTGAACCTGCGCTACACTCAGGTGTCCCACCAGGAGCTCAGGTGCCCGTCCCACCCGCCCCAGCTCACCCAGAGCTGTCACACGCACACGCACACGCACACATCTGGGCACAGGAGCCCCTGGTTCAGAGCAGAGGTCCAGGGCATTAGGCAGACCTGGGTTTGTTCCTGAGCTTGGCCTTCCGGGAGTGGAGAATCCTTCCTCTAGGGACAGCTGTGAGGATGGCATTAAGTTGTGAAGGGGACAGACTTTCCAGACTTCCCCCACTGGGCCAGAGGCCCAGATCTGCATACCAACCAGCCTGTTGCCTGCTCCACAGGGACTATGCATCCTGGAACCTGAGTGTGAACCTCTACACGGTCAACGCGCCATGGCTCTTCTCCCTGTTGTGGTGCGCGGGGGTTCCCTCCGTCACCTCGGACAACTCCCACGCCCTGTCCCAGGTGCCTTCCCCCCTCTGGATCATGGTGAGTTGGACTACTGGGGGGCAGAGTACACCTGGGGGGAGCAGACAGCTGCCTGTGGCACGCAGGAGCGGGGCAGGCTCCACACTTTGGGCTCTCTGGTGAGGTCTCAGGGTAGGGGGAGTACATGGAGGGGTACAGGCTTGAGGCACGAGGAGCATTTTCAGGACCTCTGGGGTCTGCACTAAGGTGCTGGGAGGTGGGAGGAACCTGGGTCTGACCCACAGGGAGAAAACATCACTTAAGACCCCTGGAGAACGAGTACACAACTTCTTAGGTTTTTTGGTTTGGGGTGATGTTTATTATATTTTGTTTTAAAGGAAGGGAAGGCATTAGAAAAAGGGTAATAGGACAAGAATGGGGAACAATTACATTTTCTCAAGAGATTACAACAAATTGAACCAGTTTTCAATTGATTGACTAAGCACCTGCAGACAGGCCTGAATTCTGGTCCCAGCTCTCCCACTGGGGGCATTGGGAGCCCTTGACTTCTTCCTGTGCTCCCACTGCTGGCCATCTGAGGAGGTGCAAGGCAGATGGAGGGTCTCGTTATGGCTAAGACGGTGCCAGGGTCAGTGAAGCAGATCCAGGTTATGGACAGTCCGGTCCATCACGCCCATTGTCCTTTCAAACTTCCAAAGGCTCAGCTCAGAATGAGAAGCAGTAACAC